TTTCGTACTACTACTAATAATAATTAATAATATTATTAATAATTGCTATTATGAATAGTTATAATTAAAGTTATAATTTATGTTAAATAATTAATAATTATAACTTACTATTATAAATATATGTAATAGTAATATGATAATAATATATATAAATATATAAATATAATTATAAATTATATATAAATATATAATAATAATATATAATATATATATAATAGTAGTGATAGTAATTAAATTAATAATAATAATTTACTAACTACGAGATATGAATGTTCTTTTTCAAATAAGAAATGTCATTTCTTCTAAATCGAATCAATATTTTAATCTCGTTCTATATATCAGGAAAATTATTGAGGGCGAGAAAGGTGCCAATCAATTTACACTATCATTATAAAATTGTATAAGAAATTATTTATAATTGAACAAATTCATTATTATTATTATTATTATTATTATATTTATCTCTAGACTGCGGATTAGCCCGGGAATTTAAAGATTAGTTACATTAAGTTAAGTTACATTATTTTCAATTTACTACAACCGTTAAAAGAGAAATCGCGCTTCTATTCGACTTACATTTCTTACAATTGGTATATACAATTTTCATTTCGTATAAAAATCCCCGATCTACTTATGTGAAAGAAATGGTTTATTATACTGAATTCTTACATACGTTTGCCTTGGAACGCTTTGGTCGATCAGGAAATATATATGGCGGCTCTATCAAGTCCTCTATAACGAACGGTTCAAATAGCTCTACACGGACGATTCGATCGAAGTCATGAAGTTGAATAACATCCTCACAGAACGGCATCAAGAAGCGCAATCTGTCGAAAACTTCGAGTATGTATCCAACAGAAAATGAACATTTCATCGAACGGAATAGAAGAATTGGAAATGTACCTATCAGGCTCCATGAGAAGGCAATCTTTGAACGCGTGGACCACGATACGCGTGTCCGCTGTTATCTCGACGATATCTTTCTTCTGCGGCACGCTGATTTTGTCAACGAGTGATTCGAAGACGGTTTTTGTTGTATCGTTCGCAGGATTTCCATTCGAATTCGACCATCTGGAAATAGAACAGATATTTCATAATTATGCAACTCGCAACGATCGATATTAAATTTCCCAATTTGCAAGTTTTACAGGAATTTCTCCTTAATTCGAGCGCAAGTTGCGCACCAAAAATGGACGATTTTGGGAAGGGGAGATACGATTGTCGGAGCCCATCCTCGTCCTTATCATTGTTGACAATCGGTGACTATAAAAACGAGCCGCAGGTCTCGAATAATCGTATCTCCTCTTTCCAAATTGTTCACTTTTGTGCGCGATCTGAGCGCGAATTAGAGAGCGACAATTATTTTGGAAATTATCATTCAATTTAGATCTAGGTCGATACAAAGTATTATTTGCTTGAACTTATTAATTATTAGGTATACTTAATTATTACATTACTGCATACGAAATGTCGAATTTTTAAATGAATAGTAAAAACTTTATATTTTTAAAAAACAAATGTTTATTTATTCAAGATACGATCTATTTGCTTCGATACACTTTTCCCAACGAGTTTTTAACGTATAAATACCATTTTTTTTTGTTTTAATTCTGGTCTTTTGAATGAATAAACTCGGCTATGGAGATTTTTTAATGCTATCTTGGTTTGCGAAGATCTTTTGGATGAGTTCGAAACGACAGAAATGAAAATGAAAATCTATTGACGATAGATCCGGTGAATAGGGCGGATGTTGCAAAATTTCATACTGTAATTCATTTGTTGAAAAAATCGCGAGAATATCCGCCGAATATCATATTCACACGAAACAGAAAATCAATGACGAAAATACAGAATTTTGGAGAGATTATTTATGGCAATACACGGTAAGACTATAAAAAACTAGACTATAATAATAAAACAAAAATTTATAATAATAAAACAAGACTATAAACAGTGGGACAAACATTTACGTACACGTAATAAAAATCCGACATTTTGTATGCACCAACGAAGCAGATAGCAAATATTTCTGTAAAATTTGATTTCGGTATATTTCTAAAACAAACTTGCACAAGCGTAACATCAAAACATTTCATTTCATTTCGTAGACATCACAAATATGGTGTAAACTAGTGAAAGCTGCTAAAGAGTAAGATGCCAGAGAGGAGAGTAATTACCGTCTTGAACCGCAAATCGGTAGTTTATTGTCTACGAAAAAGCACTGGAGCTCTTTGGAATCCGATTCGTCGGTCGAGTTGTTTCTATTCGAGGAACCTTCCTTATTGCGTGGGAAAGCTTGGGTGGTTGAGAGCATCAGGATAAACAGCACAAATGCCCCGACAAAATAGCCCGGGCTCATTTCCATTGTCTGGTGAACGAGTGCCTTGCATCCACAAAAACGTCTGCAATAGTGACGATCATTCGTTAGATACTATGTTAGACCTGCATCGAAGGTTTCAGAACCGAGAATATTCTGAACAGTTCTGTTCTATCAAACGTGTCCTACAAAATATAAAGCGTAAAATACAGTGGTACGCATAATTATACACTGAAAATATAATTTTTACATTGTCGCTGATGTCCAAACGAAAACTTAACAAAATATGATATTTGTATTGTATTTATTTGTAAATAATTGTAAGCTAAAAGCAACTTTTACACTTTTACTAATATTTAAACAAGGACCAAAAAATATCTATATTATATATATGTATACATATTATATATATTATATATTATATTATATATATTATATATTATATATTACTATATTATATATTACTATATTATATATTACTATATCATATGTTACTATATTATATGTTACTATATTATATATTACTATATTATATATATGTATATTTCTATTTTATATTATTTCTAATATAGAAATATAGAGATGTGATTTTTTATTAAGATTTTATTAAGTTCGTTAATTCGATCTTTCGAGGAAATGAAAATCATAACATAGTTCTCGAATCATTAGAAACAGAAAAAACTCAATGGCTCCCGAAGATTTCGAGGAAAACTGAACGCTCGCGGTGCTGAATACGAATTTAAGATCAGTTGCTGCAGCAGCGCAAGTTTCCCCGTCTTGACGCTTAATTTCACGGTTTCTTAATTGTAGTGAAATTACAGTACACTTTCATAACGAGAACAGTAATTGGAGCGTTTCCAGAGATGTTTCCATCAGCAATAATTCAGTTTTCTAATAAATTTCGTTATTAAGCAAGCGAATTTGAATCTTTGGAATTCACGTGGAACTGCCGGGCTATAAATACGAATTAACATCTCGAATACCGGATTTCTATATAACGAGATTTTATCTTCTTTCGAAGCGCGAAGCTACTTCGTACCGTGGCGGTAAAAAGAGCACATTTACTACTTCGATAAGTACAATTTTCTTAAAATTTCTCGCGTTGAAGCTAAAAACCGTGGAAAAACCGAAATTTTCAATAAATATCTGCCCGTTAAATACCGAATACCAACAATATCAAAATCATTTGATTATTAAAACCGAAACTAGATATGTAAAATTTACTATTATTACTATTGAAATTTACTATTCTTCACTATCGTACTGTATATATTACTATTCACTATTATTTACTATTACGCGGGTTTTATGCATTTATGACGAAAACACGAATAAATCAAATACGAAACTGAAAAAGTATTTAAAGAATTTCAGAACACATTCTTAATTTGTATTCAGCGAATACAAATATATATAATAATACAAATTTAAAATATACAAAATAAACAAAATATACAAAAAGAAAAATATAAAATATACAAAATATACAAAACAAATAATAATAATAAGTATCGCCCAAGGCGTTAAGAACAAGTAACACAGGTCACGAATGAACCAACTGAAAACCACACTAGCAGAACATTTCACCGTCCCTTTTCTCATCCTTAATTGTATTGCAATTTCGAAGCAGACTCGTCGTTCTACGAGGACGAAGTTCCACGAAATCGTGGCGCACGGAGCCGCGCGAACGCGAAGACTGCGCCGAGAAAAACTGTAACGCTGATTTTAATTCCATCTCGAAATTGAAAGGCGGAGTTTTCTTCCGGCGACGGAGTCGGAGCCGGCAATCTTTTCGAGATCAAAGAACCCCGAAGATCCGAAAGAACCTCGTTACGGGATGATGACGCGTTTCGCGAGAATTCCCTCGTAAACCGTGACGACCGAGTGAATGGTGACGAAGCCAGGGTCAAATGCAGGCCGACGAATTCCGAAGAAATTCACGACGCTTTCGCGACCCGGCGACGGGAAACGTTTTTGAATGCCGGTAACACCTGGTCCTTTCAATGGCCTTTGCACCACTTTCTTAGCTCGGCCCCGCAGCAAGAAAATTAAAACTTCGCGTTCGCAGTTCACCGCTATTACCTGTGCGCATCGGATCGCTGAAAAAAACTTACTTCTTCTCCGACGACGACATTCTAATAGAAAGTTTCTATGTAAAGGGTGTCCGAATATTATGGTAATTCCGGGAAACGAGGAATTCCTGAGGTTATTTGAAGTTGAACTTTTTCCTTAGCGAAAATGCAAACCGCGGTTTTGTTTACGAGTTGTTCGCGAAAAACACTGACCAATGAGAACTGCTAACATACTCTATTCTAGTTTATTCTGCAGGATGTCTCGAAAATGTCTCGCAATATGGTAATGGGGGGTTCCTAAGGTAATTCGAAGCAACTTTTTTCTTTGCGAAAATGCAAACGGCGGTTTTGTTTACGAGTTGTTCGCGAAAAACACTGACCAATGAGAACTGCTAACATACTCTATTCTAGTTTATTCTGCAGGATGTCTCGAAAATGTCTCGCAATATGGTAATGGGGGGTTCCTAAGGTAATTCGAAGCAACTTTTTTCTTTGCGAAAATGCAAACGGCGGTTTTGTTTACGAGTTGTTCGCGAAAAACACTGACCAATGAGAACTGCTAACATACTCTATTCTAGTTTATTCTGCAGGATGTCTCGAAAATGTCTCGCAATATGGTAATGGGGGGTTCCTAAGGTAATTCGAAGCAACTTTTTTCTTTGCGAAAATGCAAACCGCGGTTTTGTTTACGAGTTGTTCACGAAAAACACTGACCAATGAGAAGCTGGCGCAAGGCTGCCGTCTCGCGCCAGCTGATTTTGTCTCTTATTGGTCACTGTTTCTCGTCAATAACTCGTAAACAAAACATCAAACGACTTCAGGAATCCCTCATTTCCCGAAAGTACCATAATTTTGGGACACCCTGTAATAGAATCAAACTGTAGGTCATCCAAATTTCGTCTCGCATTTCCTGATTGAAATGAAACATCTGAAAACCGGGGCTGGAATGAAATTGTTAAAATTTTTAATCGGTTCTGATTGTAACTTTTATCTTATCTGTTCTGAGAAAACAGTTATAAGATAGTTCCGGAATTTTTTCATAAGCTACATCGGCATATACGTATTACATGTGATACTATTTGAAAAATGTGCTCATATTATAATGATTAGAAGTTTTGGTTTAACTGAAATTAATAAAATATTGAAAATAAATGTTTTGGTTTCCCTGGAATCAATGAAATTGAAAAACGAAAGCTAAATATTATCTGATGAATTATGTTATAACGATATTAAATAGTTATTCTGATTATAAACCAAAAATTAGTATATTGTTAAAAAAAATTCAGCTTACGATAGTTCAGTGCTTTATTCATTTCGCAGGAACCTTTCAAAAGAATTTGGTTTCCATGAAATTGTTCAATGAACATATAATATCTGTTCAGCGAAAACATTTATTGGAGAAGCACCTAAAAAACTACCTCGCAACAGAAAGTACCCATTTATTCCAAACCTTGCTTTCTCCTTATCAAGTTCCACAAAATTTCTGTAACCTATTTCTGAAGCTTTACGAAACTCTACGTCAAACATTTCTACTTCTCGCTGAACTCATTCGGTCGGCGCTAAAAGGTTGAAAATTGTTTAAACATGCTTGAACGTTTATATCGCGACTGAAAAATATAACCGTTTTGCTCGTGAGTGTCTACAGAATCGTTCTACGCATGAATCATCCGCGCAGCTTTTCCGGCGAGAGCGGAAAAAAATTCCGAAACTTTTGTAAGAATTGTCCAGTGGCTGTCGAAAAGTAGAATTGATGTTGGACAGAGCAATCTGAAATAATATCAAGCGAAACTCGGTGGGAACGGGATGTTCGAAGTCGCGGAAATGGATCTGTCAGTGTCCGGGGCTACAAATCGTTAGATCGGGGGGCCATTAATCAAACTTTCAAGCCTATAATGCAGCAAAAATTCACGAGTCGGCGGGCGCGGCTAATTCTCCATGGAAAATCGGTTAACCGTCGATTAAACGGCGCCCGGTTACACACACAGGATTATTTAACGTTCCGCCGTTTATAATAAACAGAAATCGGGCGCGCAGAACCGGAAAATGAATTCAGGCTCGCGCCGCGCCACCGCGCCGATTAGTTTCGCCGGGCTGTTTGAGCGATTTTTAATCGACAGTTTGGCGAACGGGCGGCCGCGTCATCGCCGCTCTCCACTTATATAATAAATAATTAAAGTCGAGCGAGGCGGGGGTGGGGCCGTTCGTTCTGTACCGATGGTTTATTAATTCCGGCAATTAAATGACGCGACGGCCGGCCAGTGTTTAAATAAACGCGGGCTAGACGATACGGGGAATGTAACGACACCGCTAATAGCGAGTTAACAATGATAATTCGCCCGTTATCGCGGGCCAAAGTGGTACAGCGCAGATAGATCGTAGGAAAATGGGTGGAAAACAAACCGTTCCATCGACACGCAACGCTGACCCCTTTTAAATGTTAAATGGGGTAAATACGATTGATTCCGAGCGCGGACGACGCGACGGACAGAGAACAAATATATCAGCCGTGGGCCCGCGATTTTTCCGACCGTTGTACCCATCGTTAAACGCTCGACGTTTCGACGAGCTAGACGCTGTTTGGTCGACGCGAGAATAATGTACTTTTGCTATAAGTAATTTCGCTGATACATTCGATCGCTCTCGAACTTAGAGATCTTGCAAAGATTTTAGTAAAAAAAAGGAGCTCTTCGTAACATAATACAGTGATCTATATTACTCGTTGTAACTTTCTGTTATAGATATTCGCGCCAATATAAATGGTAATTATAATTTGCAATGTAAGCCTTCACGTATAATTAATTGTACGTAATTGCAATTGTGTCCATTAGTCTGAAAACACATCGACGATACTTCTAGCAGAGTTCAAACTTCAGAGACACAGTCGTCCTTCTAAAACATATTTGAACGCCGTTTAACGCTTTACTCATATCGGAAGCCTGTTAACAAGCTTTTTAACGATTGAGCCGCATCTAAGAGTAGCTCGACAATTCTCTTCTAAATAATATCATCCGTT